CTTAGAGATGTCCCGCCCCTTAGCCTATCACGTACAATGTGTTGTAGCGCTAGCCAATAGAAGCGTGAATGTTCCATAGCGATGACACAATGTTTGGAGAGTGTGTGGGAGAGAAACTCCCTTTGGAGGAAACACAGGGATTTCAGCCTTTGCAGACCATTTACATGCACTAAAACCAATAGAGCACAGGAAAGAGAAAACTCTAAAGAGTAGAATAGGGCCAACAACGAGCCGTCAGTCAAACGTATTCTCTTTGTTTCTTTTCCATGATGTTGCATAATTTAATTCCAATTAGTTTCTGCTGCATTATTCATGCATCCACACACACCTGCAGTTTTGTTATGCCTCTCATGTTTACGTTTCCATTACATTGAAACGATCACTATGCAAGACAAGCATCTACCAGGCCGGTTCTGTTTTTGTTTTATCTCCACCCTGTGTGTGTCCGAGCAGCCGTAGAGATGAAGTGCGACTCTGCTATCTGTGTCTTCTTCAAAAAGCGAGCTGTACTTTCACATTTACAAGATAAAAGCATCGACTTTAAGCCTGATTGTATTTTTTATCTGCACTGAAACACAAACTTTAAATGTTTTTTGTGTGTACTTTCCCTGCGATTAGATGTCCAAATAAAGTGTCAGCCTATCCAGCCAATAACGTCTGACTTAGAAGAACGAAAAACATAATCACATTTTAAGGAGGACTTGAAACATCATTATTCAAAATCCATCAAGCTTGTTTTTGCATTTGGCAGACTCTCTTTGAGACTCAAATCTATTTTACCAATTCAATCTGCTGAGCAAACAAGAGGATTTAATATTCATAGTGGTTCAAAAAGCAGGCTTTGGAGGATGTGAGCAAAATACATAATGGATATTTGGAATAAAACATTAGTTCTTAGTCTCTTTTAACCCTCACCCATGTATTTTTTCTTTTAATGTTTATTTTAATAGCTTTTCTTTTTAATGACTGATTTTAAATGCTATTTCCTTAATGTCTTTCATTTTTTGTAAAGCACTTTGAATTGCCTTGTGTTGAAAAGTGCTATATAAATTGCCTTGCCTCACAGGACTCAAGGAGTAATACATTTCCGGTCTCATATGACATTGGTTTATTTAGTGTCGTTGTTATATAATATTATAATTCAAGGAGATACTACTTTACTTAGGAATTAGCATATTCCGCCCCTGGAGATTGAAAGTCTGAGTGAGACTGTTTGTTTACCCTTTGACATCCAAATAAGCCTATGATGTTTTTAAATAAAGAAAACAGTTCTGCGGCAGAGAGCTCACCCACAAACCCCTTCAGAAAATCACCTTTCCATCTCTTTGCTAATTCACTCCCTGCAGAGCTGAGAATGGGTTAGATTACAGCGAGCGACAAACTCCTTTCCCTGCGTGTCGCCCCGAGGCGCCGGATAAACATTTCAATACTCAAACCCCGAAAATTGTTTTCATCTGCTGCTTGGTTAAGTCAATTTTCTCAATATGTTAGAGCAGTGGTTCCCAAACTCTTTGTGCCCAAGGCACACCAAAGAACAAGTACAAATCTCAAGGCACACCTATTGTGCAAAATAGCCCTTATAACACGTGTTATCACTCATATCATGTAAAATATCTGTAAATGTGCATAATTATTTACTAATGCAAAATAAAATGTGACAAAGACAACTATATTACTCATGAAATATTTATTAACGAAATATTTCAGAAATTAATTTGAAACGTTATCAAATTAGGCTTCATCAAAGCAGCAACACACTCATTTAAACCAGACAGGTCACAAAATTAAAAATGAGGCAAAGGAAACTCAGCAGAAATTCAGCACAGAGAACTGTCAATGCAAGGAAGCTGCACTGCATGGTCCTGAACTACACATTATAAATGTAACATTTCAGCAATCAGCATTGAAACATGTGCTATTGTAAATATTTTGCCGACTTACAAATTGGTGAGATACATGTGCCTGTCGGGGCCCGCAGAATGTTTTAATCCTTGGTGGCACTGAGGAGAGGGCCACTCGCAAGTCCTGTTCAACAGAGAGCCGTGACCTCCTGTTGTTCTTCATGTAAATCAGAATAGAGAACGCCAACTCCAGAGATGGGGTCGTTACTAAAAAAATGTAATATATTACATATTACTTTAAAAAAAAAAAGTAATATATTACACTACTTCGTTAATATCTACATAAAGTAACTCGTTACTTTACTTGCCGAGCACGTACGAACTGCGCATGCGTGAGTGGCAATAACTTTCCTTACCAGCAGGCGGCGGTAGTGTGTATTTGTCATTCAAAACAGGCAACAACCGGAAGACAGAGAAGAAGAACAGACTACGTGATATCAACAAAAAAGCATGTGTTCTTTGCAGGTGTGTGTTGAGGTTTGACCACGTGGTGTTTCCAGCAGTGGATAACAGCTTCTGGCCTGGACACAGTTTGCACCTCACCGTCACATTCCTGTCTATTCTTCGGACGAACTCAAAATAATGGGCATACCTCCACCCCTCGAAAGTTATCGCTGACTCAGCCATGTTTATGCAGCACTGCACGTGGAGATATGGACGCGCAAGTCGCGCAGATTACGTACATATAAACCTACAAAGTACTGATATAGTAAATTAATAATATAAAATAATTATTTTTGTGTAGTTGTATATTGCAATAATAACGTATGGTTGTCACAAAATCCCACGGCACACCCGGACTTGCCTCACGGCACACCGTTTGGGAACCACTGTGTTAGAGAGTGCAGAACGAAGGAGTGTGAAGGAAAATCCCCAACACACACATCTGTGCCGAGTGCATGCTGTGATGTGGCAGAAAGAGATGAGAAAGAGACGCTTCACAGTGAGGGAAATAAAACGCTTTTTCAATTAACTGATTAGGAATCAAAACAAATATTTGTTGAGTATTATAATATAATGGATGTTTTGCGGCTCATATAATTGATCACTGCTGTGGAGGAAGGAGTGAAAACATTTGCAGAAATACGGATCTGTTGCAAACACACGTTTATGATACTTACACGTTTTGTTCAGCAGTATAATCTCTTAACACCACTTACATTATTTCTGGGGCGTAAATACAATCTCCAGTAGAAAAAAGTTAGGCTATAAAGGAACTACGGTACGGTCACATGACTTCACCACCGCTAAGCTAAAGGTGGCTAATGTTGGGCTATAAAGGATCTACAGCACGGTCACATGACTTCACGTCACCACCGCTAAGCTAAAGGAGGCTAATGTTGGGCTGTAAAGGAACTACAGCACGGTCACATGACTTCACGTCACCACCGCTAAGCTAAAGGTGGCTAATGTTGGGCTATAAAGGAACTACAGCACGGTCACATGACTTCACTTCACCACCGCTAAGCTAAAGGCGGCTAATGTTGGGCTATAAAGGAACTACAGCATGGTCACATGACTTCACATCACCACCGCTAAGCTAATGGTGGCTAATGTTGGGCAATAAAGGAACTACAGAATGGTCACGTGATTTCACTTCACCACCGCTAAGCTAAAGGTGGCTAATGTTGGGCTATAAAGGAGCTACAGCACGGTCACATGACTTCACGTCACCACCGCTAAGCTAAAGGCAGCTAATGTTGGGCTATAAAGGAGCTACAGAACAGTCACATGACTTCACGTCACCACCGCTAAGCTAAAGGTGGCTAATGTTGGGCTATAAAGGAACTACAGCACGGTCACATGACTTCACGTCACCATCGCTAAGCTAAAGGCGGCTAATGATGGGCTATGAATGAACTACTGCACAGTCACATGACTTCACGTCACCACCACTAAGCTAAAGGAGGCTAATGTTGGGCTATAAAGGAACTACAGCACGGTCACATGACTTCACGTCACCATCGCTAAGCTAAAGGAGGCTAATGTTGGGCTATAAAGGAACTACAGCACGGTCACATGACTTCACGTCACCACCGCTAAGCTAAAGGTGGCTAATGTTGGGCTATAAAGGAACTACAGCACGGTCACATGACTTCACGTCACCACCGCTAAGCTAAAGGTGGCTAATGTTGGGCTATAAAGGAACTACAGCACGGTCACATGACTTCACGTCTCCATCGCTAAGCTAAAGGCGGCTAATCATGGGCTATGAATGAACTACAGCACAGTCACATGACTTCACGTCACCACCACTAAGCTAAAGGAGGCTAATGTTGGGCTATAAAGGAACTACAGCACGGTCACATGACTTCACGTCACCATCGCTAAGCTAAAGGAGGCTAATGTTGGGCTATAAAGGAACTACAGCACGGTTACATGACTTCACGTCACCACCGCTAAGCTAAAGGCGGCTAATGTTGGGCTATAAAGGAATTACAGCACGGTCACATGACTTCACGTCACCACCGCTAAGCTAAAGGCGGCTAATGTTGGGCTATCAAGGAGCTACAGAACAGTCACATGACTTCACGTCACCACCGCTAAGCTAAAGGTGGCTAATGTTGGGCTATAAAGGAACTACAGCACGGTCACATGACTTCACATCAACACCGCTAAGCTAAAGGAGGCTAATGTTGGGCTATAAAGGAACTACAGAACGGTCACATGACTTCACGTCACCACCGCTAAGCTAAAGGTGGCTAATGTTGGGCTATAAAGAAACTACAGCACGGTCACATGACTTCACATCACCACCGCTAAGCTAAAGGAGGCTAATGTTTGGCGTGATGACGTTTAGTCGTCTCATTTAGACACTTGTCAGCAACTGCCGTTTTTCTTTATTCACCAGTGGGGTATTTACTGCTGTATTTTATGTCGGAGAACAAAACGTGAACGAGGGAACCAGAAGTGGTAAAATGTTGACTCATTTTGCGGCTTTTCAATACATTTTTCGACATTTTGAATGAGGTAAAGTTACATTCTACACCTTTTAAAGCCAGCAGGAATGAAAACAATAAACAAATGTCATTGCAAAGGTCAGCAATCGGTGAGTGTACTGCTCTGTAAATCCCAGCCCAGATGGAAGTGCTCACTGACCTTATGATGAAGTCACTGGAGTCGATGAGGTTCCCGTATCGAGACCCCTTCAGGTTCCCAGAGTTCCCCACCACAGAGCAGGTTCTGCAGCGTTCTGGCCTGGCGTCCATGTACAGAATCTCACCGGGGATGACTTGGAACAACTCGTCCACCACTTCAGTGAAGTTAGCCGGCTGCCTCTCTGACTGCAACCACTGGAGACACAGAGCTCAATCTCAATCTTCATTTATTTATATAGCACATTTAAAGGTCTCCTATTATGCAATTCTCAGGCATATATTATTGGTCTCAGATATATAAAAAACATGTCTATGATGTGTTTTGCTCAAAATACCAAACAGATCATGCATTCTAGCCTCACACCCCTTTATTTCAACCCTGTTACTAAAGTGCTGATTCTGGGTATATATAGCTTTTAAAAAAAAGAAGAAATTGCGGGTTAACCACAAGGTGAGTTCGTTTTTATTTCCTGCTTCTTTACACATACTGGGTGTTTCTCAATCGTGAGGATGCTGGCTTGGTAGTCGCATACTTCCAAGTCACTTCCTTCACGGCTTCGGAAAACGAAGAAGAATGGAACAGCCTAACAAGTGTACCACTCTCTCTAACGGCTTCAACATAAACTGTACCGAAAATAAATACCTCACGATGTCTATCTAATTATGAACTTGCTTTACTTTCACGGAACACATTTTTGGTGATAACAAACAAATGTAACAAAGTAACACATTTACCAACACACGTTCTACGCCACTACTATGGGGGTTATTGCCTATCTTTATTCAAGAGCGTGGTCTTTCAATTTGAGAGCATACTTTATTGATTTATTTCCCTCAAACCCTGTCCTCACACTCAAATAGTGCCTGCTTGCACTTAGATTTGCACATTTAAATGTGTGCTGCGTCAGTTCAGCCATTCTCCGCAAGGTTTTTTTAAATTGGTCCGTGCGCAAAGCATTGTGGGGATTTTAAGGACGCAAAGTCTATCCATGTGCAGCCTCGAAATTTCCCCCAAACCAAGGACGCGGCTTCGGTGGAATTCCAAGTATGCTGGAGATTGGAACAGTCCTTCGGCGGCACTCGATGACGTAGCATCCTTGAAATATTGGCTTGGAAGCCAGTATCCTCGAGATTGAGAAACGGCCACTCTCTCCAGTACAGGTTAGCTCTGAGTGTGAGCGATGGTTGCTAATGTAAACAAAGACCATATTACGTCCAAAACACGTCATGCATTGTTTCTGACAGCAACGTTTCTGATAGTGCCGTGGGTCCACATTTCAGATATTACATCATATCGGCAGCGAATCTGGATCAGCTCCGTTGTTCCCCCGTTTTTAGAGATGTGGGTACGGTGGAAAAGAGAGGGTTTTGTTTTCCGACACTTATGAGGACACATATTTATGTATAAACGACATCAAAAAGTGCATTTTGCATGATAGGTCCCCTTTAAAAGCCAGTGCAAAGAGGTGTTTTTAGCTGAGATTTAAAAAGTTCAATAGACTGAGCAGTTCGGATATGTACTGGGAGACCTCAGAGAGAGAGAGGGCCACTTTAAGCTGAAGTGATTGAACAAGGGCAGCGGAGTTTGAGACACAGAGCACATTTCAAAAAATAACCTCAGGGGCGCTTAGCATGGTCTGTAGGGGCTCTTTCGGCCCTGGCCTTCTTCTGGTGGCTTTGAACTCGGAGAGACAGGAAATAAAAGCAGGAGTGTGTGAGTGTGTGTGAGTGTGTGTACAGTGTTCTGTTGTGCTGCTGGAAACACAGTGCAGATTCAAAAGGTTCTGCAATCTTTAACGCAGTGATTCATGCTCCTAATATCACTGCAGAGGCTTTTTCACCTTGCATACTGGGGGAACCATTAAGCACTTTCTCTTTATATTTGACAATAAAATATATTTTTACTGAAATATCGTTTTTAATCATAGGACTAAACTCCCAGGTAACACAACTTATATTGGACATTCTTATCCAAGGCCATTAAACAATACAGTTTGTTGATTGTGTGATTTTAAATGTGCCATCAGAGAATTTGGTTGCATTTGTAAAACTATTCCAAATGCTTGAATATAATAACAAATCAGATGTTCTATTAAGTTGTCTGAATTGAGCTTGGTGAACAGGAATAACAAAGTTGCTTACAAATTGACCACATCTTCTGATTTCTGATTTCTTAAATGGCCAATGTCACAAACAATACAAAGACATTTAGGAGCAAACGTGTTTATCCAGCTGCTGATATCATAGCGTATGGATTCAAACTGAAAGTATTATCCTACAGAACAGTACCGCTTAGAGAATAGATAACATCTGATCCTTTACAACAAACACTATATGTGTTAGGGATTAATTTGGTCTTTACTCAGACATTTAACCTTATTTTGTGTGTTGACATGTACGACCATCCCTGCTTCTAATCTCCTGTAAGGAATGTGTTGATGCAGTCGTATGTTGATACTAGGTTTTACAGCCTGACCTACAGGGCACAGGGAGGTTTTGCGAGTGTGAGAACGCTAGCTTCTAAGCTCCAGAGATGGGAGAGACATCTCCTGTGTCTGCAGATGTGTTTACGCCATGGTTTACGCCCATCCCCAATATGTGGATTTGACTCTCTGTAAACTAGTTCAAAGGTCTACCAAGATGCGAGGCTGATCAGATCTGACATGGCAAACCACCCGTGCAGTCAGAACCTTTGACTGTGTGACTTGTGATGTGAATTTCTCCGGCCGATGCTTGTATTAAATCTCAGTGTTTGACATCAGAACTCCTGCTCGTCCCGTGTCTCCTTCATGAGTCGGTGACTCCCACTGCATTGCTACACAGACGTTTCCTCCACAATATGCTCTTTGTTTACTTACATTGCAATCCTGCTAGTAATCCCCAATTTTTTGTAATCTGATTTTAAATGCAACTGTAAGGGAATATTTACCTTTTTATGTATCCTGATAACGTCCAACCATTACAAGTAATCCACAAAGCCTGAAGCTAATGTCTAATATTATGATCCGTTGAATTTTTCAGAATATTGAGATGCAGATTAGAATTTTCCAAAGGGGGGTTCGTTTAGCATGAAACACTTGAAATAACTAAAGGATAAGTTGGTACCACTTTACAATAAGACTACCCTTAAGAACCATTTATAAACCAGTTCTAACATAGTTTTCATACATCAACACAGGCTCACTATTTGGCAAGATGACTAAGCCTTATATTGGCTACTTAGCGATAATCAACTCAGTGAGCAACAGATACCAAGGATGCTGGCTGAGGAAGAAGACGAAGTAAGCTAGGTAGCCAATATAAGGCTTAGCAGTACAGATACATGTGGGCTCACTATTTGGCAAGATGACTAAGCCTTATATTGGCTACTTAGCTTACTTCGTCTTCTTCATCAGCCAGCAGCCTTGGTATCTGTTGTTCACTGAGTTGATTCCCCCCCTTCTATCTTGATGTTTCTTGGCTTCTCTTTATGACCATTTATTTAGGAGTTACTAACATGTATAGTTGCCAAAAGGGAGCCTTATTGTAAAGTGTGAAACAAATCACCATTTATTAATGAGTTACTACCATTTCTAATAAGACTTAGCAGTACAGATAAATGTGGGCTCACTATTTGGCAAGACGACAAAGCCTTACATTGGCTACTTAGCGAGAATCAACTCAGTAAGCTAGGTAGCCAATATAAGATTTAGCAGTACAGATAAATGTGGGCTCACTATTTGGCAAGACGACAAAGCCTTACATTGGCTACTTAGCGAGAATCAACTCAGTAAGCTAAGTAGCCAATATAAGATTTAGCAGTACAGATAAATGTGGGCTCACTATTTGGCAAGCAACAGGTCACAGTTGCCCTGTTTATCTCATGTCTCATAAAAGCTTAGTAATGATTTATAAAGTGTTCACAACCTGATTAATAAATGAATTACAAACTATTCGTAAACCCTTTATAAGGGTAGTCTTATTGTAAAGTGGTACCGATAAGTTAAAAAAGAAAGTAGAAAGAAATGAGTCTTTAAAGGCCACATTCTGATCTATATCTTTAATTAAAGAACACTTTTTAGGGAGTTTTAGGTCAATTAAATAGTCAATTATCAATGCTTTTGTATTAACACTGGATCACATGCTATAGTTACGTTAAAGGGGTCGCTTATAGTGAGAAACAAACAGTTCTCCTCAGCTTTCCATGGGATTTAACAATCGTTCAGCTTATTTTTTAAGAAAGAAAGTGTGGTCAAAGAAAACTATTTCTGCTAAAAAGTTAGCAATGATTGAGATTCAGAACTAAACATTTCAGATGTGTGTATCTCACACTGCACTGTGACTTTAATTCATGTTCCTTTGTCATTCAAGTTTTATTATCTATGCTTTTAAATTAGTGTTTTTAAATGCCATTCATTCTGCCTAATTCAAAACTGTCCTTTACTGTAATTACTTTTATCTGAGTTGCATGTTTGCTTTGACATATAGGTCATGCCTTTTAAAGCCAGAAAACCATCTTGCCAGCTGCTGTTGATAGTTGACACTTACCTCACTGTGAGCAGCATTTCCTGAAATGAAAAGTGACAGGAGGCAGCCTTGCAGTAATTGTTCTATTCTTGCCTCTAATTGGACACAGTGTGAGTCGAATACTGAGGCTCTGGATGCCTTCCAGACAAAGGTAGGATACTAGTGAGACATACATTTTGTGAATTGGCTTTTCTAATTTAGAGAGCTGTACTCTAATAATTGGATGTACAGAAGGTACTTTATATATTGGTCGGATGGAATTTAATTAAGGCTGGTACGTAATTATTTATATAGCTGACAGGAATTGTAATCTACAAAAAAGGGGATTTGAACGCGAAAAAACCTCCATAATACACCTGATGTATTAAAACAGGGATCCATTGAGATGTTTCCAAAGGAGCAACGTTAATATCTCTGTTAGTTAATTCCAGGTTTTTGTGAAGAATCCCAGGGTTTTTCTCTTTAAGCAACCATTTAACACTCAGCAATCGTACAGTTGACAAATCCATTATACAGTAAGGAAGAGGCAGAGATGAATATTCCTCCACCAGCTGCACGAGTACAAACTAAAGTACGATTAACATATACGCTCTAATTGAAAAGAAGCATCAATTTACCCTGAGAGAGACTAGAAGATCGATACGGCACATGCTAAGTGAGCTAAAGCCAGCAGACACTCGCTTAGAATAAAGACAGATGGAAACAGAAAGCAACTCATGGTTCAAAGCAGCTTTAAAGCTCAATATCATGTTAAATGTTGTTTATTTAATCTGTACAATCTAGGGGCAATAACAACTCCCATAAAACCTCAACTTGTCATCTTTAAATGTATGTTTTGTTCTGCCAGGTGTATTTATTTACCATTCGGACCAAGGGGCGACTGCTGGGTCTAAAAAGGCAAGCGGATGTGCATTAATCTACTATAGTTACAGATTGAATAGAAGTCTATGAGAGGATAGCTTGATTTAATACACCAGTAAACCCTTTTACCTTACGAGTTTATGGTCTCAATTGCTACTTTCAAGTCTTCTTCAATACTGAACGATGGAGAGTAAATTCGACGAGGCGTTGTGTGTTTTAGCGCCAGGGTAAAGACACACAAGGAGTTGGGAACTGTAGCCAAAAGTGGCATCCAATTAAAATCACAGCTTCTCATCACACCTCTCTTCTCCATCTCTTTGGTCACCTCTTGTTCCAACACAGCCCCAAAGCCAAACTCCCAAATTCATCGCATCAGATTTGAACTGGTAACATCACAGTGACTATTCTTTAATACAGTCTATAACTAAGATGTTGCCAGGCGCTTTATCAGTTTCCAGTCTTTATCTATTATTTATTTGTTTTTCCACATGTATATATATTGTCTATTTTTTGTTTTATATTCTTAAACTTTTTAGATTTGTAATGCTATTTTATTTCTATTTCTGAAATATTTTTGCTCTCTCTCTCTCTCTCTCTCTCTCTCTCTCTCTCTATATATATATATATAGAATATACAACACCTGCCAGCTGATCATTAACGTATTATATAAAATAATCGATACCAACTGAATAGGTGAACACAATAACAAGTCCTCTGAATCACAGAGGAACATGCACCAAGATGTACCTAACCCTTGGGGAATGTATTAATAAACATGAATGATTAATAAAGTTGATTTAAGGCTCGATATCTTGACTTATAGTCACACAGTTGGGTTTAATAGAAGCCTATATGCACGATGAGAAGTGTCATACACAAAAAACACTGAAATGTTGACTTTAATTCAATGTATTATGTCAACAGATTTCACACAACTGTTTAAGGTTGGTTGAAAGTTCAACCTAATAAATATATTCATTTATATAAAGGCTTTCAACTAACCTTACACTGTACAGTTGTGTGAACTAAATGGCATCACTTATGCATATATGCTTTAATGTTTGATGTGAAATGTCTTCGCCTGTAGATGTTGGAAGGATTGTGAGAGTAAACAACCATTTCCATATCAACCCTCTCACTTGTTAAATGTGACCAAATTGTGCGTGGGAGTCAGCTTCACAACTTGATCCTGCTGAAGATCCCTTGGATTTGAGACAATCAATGTGGCAAAAAAAAACAATTCTTGTGAGCGTTACAGCGCTGTGTGATCTCTTCTTTATTCATGATCTCTCCTCGTCTCGCTCTCAGAAGCTGAATGTGCAATTTCTTTCAGGACAGCATTGCAAATCCCCCCAAAACAAATCCCCTCGAATCTTACCTGCCACCATTTGAAGGTTTCATCAGAGAGGAGGCTGTTCTCCCGGGACATCAGAGGACTGAAGGACTGATTGAAGCGCTCTGAGAACCAGGGGTCGTCTTCCAGCTCTGTCATACATCTCTGGCATGCACAAAGCCCTTTGGAGAAGAAGGTATCCGAGAGGCGAAATGCGTACTTGAAGAAGTACAGCGAGGGGTCCCGGAACGTGTAGCTGAACAGGAATGTTGTGAATGAAATGACGCAAAAAAGCAACGCTAAAGTCCTGATTTTCCTACGCTTTGGAAGAGGCATGTCGTCACAAAAATCAGGGTTCAAATGTCTCTCTGATGTCCGATATGCATTCCCTGTTGTTCCTACTTTGCAGGCTCAAGATTGGGTTCATGAAGGATCCTGATGAAACTCATGGAGGGGCTTTGTTTGCAGAGTAATCCACACTAAAGGATGGTTACTGATTACTTCTGACTGCTGCTGGATAGTCGAATTCAGGCTGTTTTTATTCTGTTGACTCTGTGGGGTGAGTGACTGATGTGTTGTCCATTCTTCTGATGATCACCTGAAAAGCAAATAAGAAAAGACATTTTGTGAAAAAGGCTGGGATAGATACTTTTTTGCTTCAAACACACACAGTAAATTCTCATTAATTCACTGTACAAACAGTTCTCCCACTGTTAAGGGCATGTCAATAACCAGAAGCTGCTATTGTTAACGGATATAAAATGAAAGTCCTACTCCACTAGTCGTCCACACACTGGGATAGAACCAGAATGAGTTATTGATCCAGTGTCACATCCTAAACAATCAAATAATGTCTACTTAATGTGGATTTTGCAGATATTTTTCTCTATTTTCTACCCTTTGCACACCTCGGAAACTTCAAAATGATGTATTGAAATGTATTTTTTTTTAACATTTTGAACCCCAGTAGGTTAAACATCCTAATGTAAAACATGGTGATATTTCTGCCAGGGGTATGTGGAAGATTGTGGTGTCGCATCATCTAGTTGCCAAAGAAAGGGCCTTTGGGAAACTTGCACACCCAATGCCAAAATAAACAATGTGAACAAATATGAATTAATTTGATCTTGGTTTTCTAGCTGATGGATAAATTGCAGCCCTTATCTTTCTTACAACTAGAAAACACAGTATAACCATCTAGCTAACATTAACCTTCTGACATTGGGGTTTTCATGACTGAATAAACGCCCAAAGATCTTCATGATTCATGTTGGAAGTCGGACACTCTTGAAATCTGGTGAAATCCACTCTTTGCAACAAGGATAAATTGTTCAAATAAAGTCCTAATACCATTGGATAAAAGGCTGAAATAGTAGCTAAAGTAGTGAAGCAATGAAACACATTTCCACACAAGCTTATATGCAGAAGGCCTTAAGATGAATGGCGGGATTAGAAGTAATGGATACTGTAACTGGTTGAATTAGAAAAAAAATCTGCTTCTGTGACACCAAGGAAGTAAAACAAATGTAGACCTGACTACAGTTTGAATTGCATGACAAAAATAACCACATTCATATCCACTTGTATATGACAACTGGAGGTACTTCTGGCTAAAAGGGCAAGGCAGCACTGGTCTAAACTGGTATTTTCTAGCGACAGTCAGTCAGTAACCTGACACAATTCCCAGAGTAAAATAGAGAAGGGGATTTATTGTTTGTGCCTTTTATGACTGATAAAGCATGCGGACCACCTGGGGTTTAATTTAAACATGAAAAAGCCACTTCTGCCTTTTAAACACAGCCCGGGTTTCATTCTGATGTGCAGCTGTGTTCAGGGTTTCACAAATGCATCTATATTTAGATAGCAGCAAATCCACGCTGCAGATAAAGTCCTGTCATCCTCACACATGCTGAGACATATCTGAAAAGTGAACACATGCATATCTGCCGTTTGCTCTCGACAACTTCTGAGTGAGCCCTCCATATAAAAGATGTGTGGGAAAGGCTTTCACTACAAAAGGAGAAAGAGAGACTGCGGGTCTTTTTCCTGATTAGAAATTGATCAAGTCATTCAAATTCCACCCTGGAGGAAAGCAAAGAGGATTGGGTTTAAGACTCAGAACTGCACAGCGACACTGTTGATGTTCGGAGAGGGCAAAAGTACACACATCCTTTACTCAAGTAGAAGTACAGATACTCGTGTTTAAAAATACTCTGGTGAAAGTAGAAGTACTGACTAAACTTCTTTCCTCAAGTCAAAGTAAAGAGGCTTTGAAATGTACTTCAGTAAAAAGTACCCATAGCTAGCAGCTGTTTTAAAGAGTACCTGACCTCCCTTTATATTAATAGAACAATAATGTCATTGTTAGCTAATGAATGTTTCCATGCTGAACAACGGCAACATGACAACGTTTCCATTGGTCCCTCTTCTTTAGAGAAGACCAGGAAATGATGGATACACGGATCGTGTTCAAATCAATAGGCACGCAATGACTCTAAAGAATAATGATCACGCACCAAACACACATTCAGACTAAAGGAACCAGCTGTTTGGGAAATGAGAGAAGTAGAAAGTACAGGTATTTGAGTTCAACATGTAAGAAGTAGAAAGTACAGGTATTTGAGTTCAACATGTAAGAAGTAGAAAGTACAGGTATTTGAGTTCAACATGTGAGAAGTAGAAAGTACAGGTATTTGAGTTCAACATGTGAGAAGTAGAAAGTACAGGTATTTGAGTTCAACATGAGAGAAGTAGAAAGTACAGGTATTTGTGTTCAACATGTGAGAAGTAGAAAGTACAGGTATTTGAGTTCAACATGTAAGAAGTAGAAAGTACAGGTATTTGGGTTCAACATGTAAGAAGTAGAAAGTACAGGTATTTGAGTTCAACATGTGAGAAGTAGAAAGTACAGGTATTTGAGTTCAACATGTAAGAAGTAGAAAGTACAGGTATTTGTGTTCAACATGTAAGAAGTAGAAAGTACAGGTATTTGAGTTCAACATATAAGAAGTAGAAAGTTCAGGTATTTGTGTTCAACATGTGAGAAGTAGAAAGTACAGGTATTTGGGTTCAACATGTAAGAAGTAGAAAGTTCAGGTATTTGTGTTCAACATGTGAGAAGTAGAAAGTACAGGTATTTGGGTTCAACATGTAAAAAGTAGAAAGTACAGGTATTTGAGTTCAACATGTGAGAAGTAGAAAGTACAGGTATTTGTGTTCAACATGTAAGAAGTAGAAAGTACAGGTATTTGAGTTCAACATGTAAGAAGTAGAAAGTACAGGTATTTGGGTTCAACATGTAAGAAATATAAAGTACAGGTATTTGTGTTCAACATGTAAGAAGTCAAAGTAAAAAGTCGTCAGAAAAATAAGTAGTAAAGTAAAGTACTGACACCGGAACAATGTACTTAAGTACAGTAACAAAGTATTTGTACTCCACTACTTCCCACCTCTGCTGATTTTTCGCTCACCTCATCAGAGCGGGAAAACAAACTGTACAGCCGTTTATAAGCAGCTCTGACACAAAGGAAGCTTTATAAGTGATCCCATCTGCTGCTCAGAGCTCTCTAACTCACAGCAGAGAGGATCTGCATACAGCTCAAGGTTGCTTATTGTCAAAGGCAGCAGGATGGCAAGGATACCTGGACACTTATAATGGAAACCTCTATGAACAGACCTACTTCCAAGGGGGAAAGATCTTAAAAGTGAAAAATACCACAGTATAGAAATACTGTTACTACTCAAAGTCTGGCATTCAAAAGAGTTAAAGTATTAGCATCAAATGATACTTAAAGTACTCATTATGCATGCATTGCATTTTGCATTATCACTGGATTTTAATGTACTGTTAAAACTGTTTTAATTTTGCTGCTGGAAAAGGTGGAGCTAACTTGTTGATCGTTTATACTGCCGCTTATGTTATTCTCTAATAGCATGTAATTGAATATGTATTATTATTACACGGCTTAGTTGAACACTCAAATCTGATTGGTTGATTTGGACATTCCAGAGGTTGTTAATTTCCCCAAACTGACCGTTGCTAAGGAGAACATATTGTTGCTAAGAAGACACAGGGGAAGTAAACACTAAAGGGAACAGCAGAAGATAATGAATGTTTCCATGCTGAACAACGGCAACATGACAACGTTTTCATTGGTCCCTCTTCTTTAGAGAAGAGCAGGAAATGATGGATACACGGATCGTGTTCAAATCAATAGGCACGCAATGACTCTAAAGAATAATGATCACGCATCAAACACACATTCAGACTAAAGGAACCAGCTGTTTGGAGAATGAGAGAAGTAGAAAGTACAAATATTTGTGTTCAACATGTAAGAAGTAGAAAGTACAGGTATTTGTGTTCAACATGTAAGAAGTATAAAGTACAGGTATTTGGGTTCAACATGTAAGAAGTAGAAAGTACAGGTATTTGTGTTCAACATGTAAGAAGTAGAAAGTACAGGTATTTGAGTTCAACATGTAAGAGTAGAAGTAGAAAGTACAGGTATTTGTGTTCAACATGTAAGAAGTAGAAAGTACAGGTATTTGTGTTCAACATGTAAGAAGTAGAAAGTACAGGTATTTGTGTTCAACATGTAACAAGTAGAAAGTACAGGTATTTGGGTTCAACATGTAAGAAGTCAAAGTAAAAAGTACTAATACCAGAAACATGTGCTTGAGTACAGTAACAAAGTATTTGTACTCCTCTACTTCCCACCTCTATTTGACAGGCTGTTGACTGCTCTCAGTTTGAAGTCCCTGGACATTAAAGGTTCAGGTAGATGTGAGAGAGGCAGAATTAATTCTCAAACAGATGGCAGCTCCACACGTTTGACACAGGCCATCATCTCGTTCCCTGACCTTGTCCGACTGAATGCTGGCAGCCCGGCGCTGATCAAAGTCTGTAGAGTGAGAGAGCGTCTGTTCACACTTCAGAGGCTGAGAGACAAAGAGAGAGAGACGGTGGAGGGGGGGGGGGGCAAGCAGCAGTGTGTGAGCTGTGTTTCACCCATATTTTTGTATTGTCTTGTCTGTCCACCCCTTAAAACATAAAGCTTATATAAACACACGTGTGGTTTTGTGGTACAGAGATGCATGAGAAATTAGTGAGAAAAATCAGATGGTCCGACATTTTTGCGACACTTAAGCTAAAGCTTCGACAAATCCACTTTCACAGAGCCGCTTTGATTGCCCTCTGTACAGCATATTATACCTGGGGTAAAACCAAGTAATGTTATTTGCATACATTTCACTTTCAATGCATTAAGCGTTAACTCATTAACTGCTGTGTTACACCTTTATATCCAACTTTATCCTAATTCTTGAATTTTGTTGTTGTAATTTGTGGACAATAGACCTAATTCGCACAAAATTAAGCCACATTTTTGGGTGAAAAGAAGCAAAAACTTTGATTTCTTTTGACTATATTTAAGATCAGAGTGAAAACAGGACAATGGATAATCCCACACTGGTCAAAGTTAAGTGAGAAATCCAATCAAATTTGAATAAAACATCGTTCAATGAAAGCACCCTGAAAGCATCCATTATATTCGTGTGGCATTAAGATGAAAGAACCCGTTGTGCTGACTTAAAAAC